CCATTATTTGAACAAGTGTCGTGCTATTGACAGGAAGACAAAATAAGTTAGAGTGACCATGTTTCAAAGATTCTGTACGTACACTCAATCATCGCAGCAGAAATTGAAACCGGGTATATAACAACACGGCCATGTTTTCTATTTCCCCTGTAGATCAATGCTAACAGTAGGAGGGGACCCTAAAGATGGATGTTGCTGGAGGGAAAAGGAAAAAAAGAAAAAGCTCAAAATCTTCAGCTGGGTGGCTTAGAGCAGTGTTTCCCAACCTTGGGCCTCCAGCTGTTTTTGGACTACAACTCCCATCATCCCTAGCTAGCAAGATCAGTGGTCAGGGATGATGGGAATTGTAGTTCAAAAACAGCTGGAGGCCCAAGGTTGGGAAACACTGGCTTAGAGGATAAAAACTTCAAGAGCAGCAGCTGTATTAGTCTGTTACAGCAAAACAACAAGAGTTGTGTAGATCTCAGGGCTGTCTTAAGCATATGCGGTGCCGGTGTGCAAAGATCCGCCCAGTGCCCTCCCCCGGTTGCCCAGTCCCAGGTGCGCAGGAGGGCGGAGCCAGCCGGCCGCCTCAGCGTCTCGCTGGCTCGGTCGCCCCCAACCAACAGACGGGCTTTTCCCCTGACTCAACTCTCAGTCCCCAGACTCTCAGCCTGGCGCCCCTGAGAGCCTGGTCATAGCTGTCAACCGTCCCTTATTCAGCGGGAAACTCCCTTATCCCAGTGCTGGGTCCTGCTGCTGTGCCTTACTGATGATGTCCCTTAAATTTCCTGGGTTTCAAAGGAAGCAGCTCCTCTCCCTCCCTCCCTGCCGGCCAGGGAGGAGGGAGGCTCCAACTGTGTTGCTTGGCTGCGTTGCTCACCCAATAAGGAGTTTAAGAACGACTGGGGGGTGGAGCTTGCATGCCTTGTGCCGATCAAATCGGCCTCATTGCCTGGGGACTCGCCTTTGCTCAGTGCTTCCCAGCAAAGAGGTGATGGTGGTTTCCTTGCTGCATCCCCTTTGCCGGGTTGCTGCACTGTGGGAACCACCGCTTGAGGCTTCGTTTGGCTGCTGGCGGGGCTTTCTGCCTTTGGCTCAGAAGTTGAACATACCTGTGCTGGGAAAATCCCTTATTTTGGCTGCTGATCCCTTATTTTCGAGGCTGCTGGTCCCTTATTTTCAAATCTGTAAATTGACAGCTGTGAGCCTCGTGCCTGGGTGCCCTGCACCCCTAGCGCCTATGGGTAAGATGGCCCTGATAGATCTTCTCCCTATGAGAAACAGTGGGCAGCTGCTGCCACTGAACTAAGCCATAAAGATAAAGTGGGAAGCCAAACATTTCTGTTTTAAGTACTTGCTATAAATGGAAATAGAAAATGCCGCAACTCGTGGAACAAGATGTAGTTATCCACTTAAGGTGAATGAATATAGCCAGAAGCACTTTTTCCTACCCTCCCCACCAGGGAAGAAGAAACATTGGAACAAGGGGGACATGAAGATCTGCATCAGGATCTGCTGCCCCCGTGCATCCTGCCTCCTGAGGCGGTCAACTCATCTTGCCTCACGAGTGGGCCGGTTCTGGTTCCTGCTATACAGTATAGATACTGTACACAGAGGCAGTTCATAGCGATTCCATTTAAATATCACGGTGGATTACTTTTGACTGGCATATGCTGCGTGAACTTGCCCGAACCATTTTATTTATTTTATTTTTTTAAAAAAATTTTTATTGGATTTTCATATACAAAGTCAGAAAAGTAGCCATAAGAAAAAAAAAGAAAAAAGCAGAAAGAAAGAAAGAGTAAAGAAAGTCAACTTTCTAAATCATTTTTACAAATCCAACTGGACTTCCCCACATCTTCCGAGCCCAGCGTTCTTAGCAATAAAAACATCAGCAATTTGTTACCTTGTTTCATACCTTACTGTATCTTTCAGATATTATGTTCCTAAATTCAAGATACTATTTCTCCATTACTTGTACCTTACAATAAACATAATAAAGTTGTTTCAAATCTGCACCTCATCTTTCTTATAACTTAATTTCCAATTCGCCAAATCAGTTTGCTGAAGCTATAATTTCCAAATCATGCACATTCTTAACATTCATACAATTTATAATGTTTTTGCAAATAGTCCTTAAATTTTCTCCAGTCCTCTTCCACTGTTTCTTCTCCCAAATCTCGGATTCTGCCAGTCATTTCAGCCAGTTGCATATAATTGCCCGAACCATTTTAGAGCCATCTAAAGAGTGTAGCCATCTCCACATCTTGTGGCAAGTTAAGTACTTTGTAAAGAACTGCTTCCTTCTTGCATGTATCATCCTGAATCTGCTGCTGATCAGATTCATTGCATATCTCTGATTTCTAGTATTATGAGGGGGGGGAGAGAAAAAAATACAGCATCTCTCCCAATACAAGGAAGCCCACCACCATACTCTCTGGTCAGTTCCAACTCCTTTTCTCTTTTTCTCCCTTCTGGTCATTTTAGTTTCTTTTCTGCCACTTTCATGGCTCCATGATATACTTTCATTGAGCTGTGGTATCCATACAAAGTATTCCAAACATTGCTGTACGATTGCTGTATATAATGGCATTGCAGCAACAGGAGATTTAAAATGGACAGTACTCAAAATGAGCTAAAGTTCTTGCGGTATAAATGAATGCAGAAAAGAACATTTAGGGATTAAAATCATGGTCTGTCCTTTCGGTGGATAAATTTGGTGGATTTCGTTGTGGCATTAACGGTTATGAATTTTAAAGATTGTGCATCGCTTTGTGTGGTCATTGTTCAAAACAGCAGCATCTTAAACAAGTAAATGACTACCTGATTTTTTGGGGGGTGCATGAAAACAGCATGCTGAATTATATTTTCTTAAATGAAATATTTGTTGTATTTATCTTGTGGAAATTACATTGCAATTTTAAACCTTTTTTTGTATAATCTGTATAAAATCTATCCCTACTGATTCGAAGTGGCTAAAACTGGCTGCTAAGTATTTTGGAAACTTTGTGTCTGAACCAGAATTGAAAGAGCAGGTTTCTTTTTCTTTCTTTCTTTAATGCTGATGAACCTAAATTAAAACAGAATTTTAAAAAAATTCCCCCATGGGGACATTTTGCTACGCATAGCGCTAGTTCTGTCATTATGAGTTGGATCCTTTGGCAACTCTGCAGGAAGCACCTTGCTGCTAATAATGTGGCCTTGGAGTGACATCAAGTGTTGAAATGCGGCACTGCTCTCTGTTGACGTTATTGTTTGCAGTCATAAATAGTGCAGCAGGGCCGAAATCCGGAAGTGGCGATTTAAGGAACATTTCCAAACGCAAAGACAGAAATTGGCGGATACCCGTTCAGCAATATTTCATGCTCCTGAATTAACAGAATGTAAAACCATTACATCACCTTGCCGACAAAGGTCCGTATAGTTAAAGCTATGGTTTTCCCAGTAGTGATGTATGGAAGTGAGATCTGGACCAAAAAGAAGGCTGATCGACGAAGAATTGATGCTTTTGAATTATGGTGCTGGAGGAGACTCTTGAGAGTCCCATGGACTGCAAGAAGATCAAACCTATCCATTCTGAAGGAAATCAGCCCTGAGTGCTCACTGGAAGGACAGATCATGAAGCTGAGGCTCCAATACTTTGGCCACCTCATGAGAAGAGAAGACTCCCTGGAAAAGACCCTGATGTTGGGAAAGATGGAGGGCACAAGGAGAAGGGGAAGACAGAGGACGAGATGGTTGGACAGTGTTCTCGAAGCTACCAGCATGAGTTTGACCAAACTGCGGGAGGCAGTGGAAGACAGGAGTGCCTGGTGTGCTCGGAAATGTACTGGGACCCAATGCAGGTCTTTCAGGTCCGGTGTTATATGGTCTTAGTGGCCACTCCCAGTCACCAGTCTGGCTGCCGCATTCTGGATTAGTTGTAGTTTCCGGGTCACCTTCAAGGGTAGCCCCATGTAGAGCGCATTGCAGTAGTCCAAGCGGGAGATAACTAGAGCATGCACCACTGTGGCGAGACAGTCCGCGGGCAGGGAGGGTCTCAGCCTGCGTACCAGATGGTGCTGGTAGATAGCTGCCCTGGATGCAGAATTAACCTGTGCCTCCATGTGAGTCCAAAATGACTCCCAGGCTGCACACCTGCTCCTTCAAGGGCACAGTTGCCCCATTCAGTAGTCCCCCACACCCACCCGCCCCCTATCCCCCAAAAACATTACCCGTGTCTTGTCAGGATTTAACCTCAATCTGTTAGCTGCCATCCTTCAGATGTCTTCTAAAGCTTGCATAGTTACTTATCTCTTTGGCTCAGGGGTTGCATAACTCCACACCCTCCAACTTTTCTCCAGGGAAAATAGGGATGGAAATAGGGACATTCTGAGATCAAATCAGAAACCGGGATGACTTCTGTGAATCTGTGACTGATTCTCAAAAATAGGGACACTTGGAGGGTCTGCAGCTAGCAGGTATATTTTGCAAAATTATATTTTAAAAATCTAAACTAAAACATGTTTTCTTTGATTTGCTGAAAAGCTAAAATTCCTCCTGTTTGCCCAGTGTAGTTCTTCTGCACACTTAGTAAGCATACCCACTGAAGCAACGCTCCTCTGTCATTGTCGACCTTTGCCAGGTCTTTATTCTCCATAAGGTACTGAATGGCCACTCGGTGCGCGGCTGAGCAGCAGAAACGAGAAGAGCCTTTTTTTGTGGTGGGCTGAAAGATTTCTGCCTCTTTTACTTGGTCTGCCATGTTCAGCTCTTCTGATTGTTCTTTGCTGAGTTCCTTCTCCTTTCTCATGGTCTATTTTGCATTGATTTACTGGATTGATTTATTCACATGTGCCCATCCAATTCGAACTCGCAATATATATGCTAGCAGCCCACTAGGAAGGCGCACATTGTCTCTGACAGAAGAAGGAGCGAGTGAGTCTTCGAAAGTTACCAGGAAGTCTCCTATTCGGATGCGAGTGATCAGTCTGCATTTCTAAGTCTATGCGCAGTGATGCTAATCTGGACCACATCCTCCTCCTCCTCCTCCCGCTTTGGGATGAAGGAGGATTCGGAACCACGTGATTCTTTCAACATCTCTACGCGGGAGCGGGCGGAGGAGGCGCGCAGGTCGCCCGGCGGACGGACAGACAGACAGACCTACAGGCAGGCACGCCCCTAGTGAGTGTTTCCAGAAGCCCTTTGCTTTAGCTGCTTGTCGTCGTTTTTTGCGCCGCCTCCTGAGCATGTGCAGAGTGCATTCACCCTCCGGCGGAGTCCCCTGCTGCTCTCGCGGCAGCGTCGGTGCCGGGTCTGTTTTGCGCCCTAGGCGAAGCTAAATACTTGCGCGCGCGCGCACCCAAAACGCCCCCCTCCCCTGCTAACTTCGATTTTCAAAAGCCTTACAGGGGGTGGGGGGGCGGAATGAAAACTTGAAGCTGCAAAGTTTCTTTTAAATGGGAAGAAAAAGCAGCGCCTCGATCTTAAATTGCCTTTCTCAAACGCAAAAGAAAACTAGTTTGCCTAAAACAAACCTAAACTAGTTTGCCTAAAACGTGTCCAGAGGAGGGCAACCAAAATGGTCAAAGGCCTGGAAAGGATGCCTTATGAGGAACGGCTAAGGGAGCTAGGCATGTTTAGCCTGGAGAAGAGGAGGTTAAGGGGTGATATGATAGCCATGTTCAAATATATAAAAGGATGTCATACAGAGGAGGGAGAAAGGTTGTTTTCTGCTGCTCCAGAGAAGCGGACACGGAGCAATGGATCCAAACTACAAGAAAGAAGACTCCACCTAAACATTAGGAAGAACTTCCTGACAGTAAGAGCTGTTCGACAGTGGAATTTGCTGCCAAGGAGTGTGGCGGAGTCTCCTTCTTTGGAGGTCTTTAAGCAGATGCTTGACAACCATATGTCAGGAGTGCTCTGATGGTGTTTCCTGCTTGGCAGGGGGTTGGACTCGATGGCCCTTGTGGTCTCTTCCAACTCTATGATTCTATGATTCTATAAAACTGTGCCCTACTTGGCCTAATGATGGCCTCCCCCATCCTGCCTGGGCCTCTCCCATCCTGCCTGGGCGAAGGATGCTCAGAGGCTTCTCAGACACCCTTTCCAAATTATTACAAAAGCACACATATCTATTTGGCAGTTATTAATATTATTGGGACGCGGGTGGCGCTGTGGGTAAAAGCCTCAGCGCCTAGGGCTTGCCGATCGAAAGGTCGGTGGTTCGAATCCCCGCGGTGGGGTGCGCTCCCGTTGTTCAGTCCCAGCGCCTGCCAACCTAGCAGTTCGAAAGCACCCCCGGGTGCAAGTAGATAAATAGGGACCGCTTACTAGCGGGAAGGTAAACGGTGTTTCCGTGTGCTGCGCTGGCTCGCCAGATGCAGCTTGTCACGCTGGCCACGTGACCCGGAAGTGTCTCCGGACAGCGCTGGCCCCCGGCCTCTTGAGTGAGATGGGCGCACAACCCTAGAGTCTGTCAAGACTGGCCCGTACGGGCAGGGGTACCTTTACCTTTACCTTTTAATATTATGATAATTATTTGTGTGTGTGTGCTTTTGCAACAGATTGCAGAAATATCCAGCTTCTTTATGATCCTGCTGTCCTTCATATTTGTAAATTGGTCCTCTTTTAGTTCTTTTTCAGGGCAGCCTGACATGCAGAAACCGAGTTGGTGAGAACCTTTCTCTCCACCCCCACCCCCTGCCCCCATGACTTCACTGCCATGCTTACAATGCAGGACACAAAATCCTTCTTACCGTTGTGGTACTTGCACATATTTACACCTGGTTTTAGTTAAACGCCATTCATTCGTATCAATGCGCTTACTCCCCCGGTACTCCTTCCTTTCCATTGGATATTTTTGCCGCCGTGTGCCAAGACAGATCATTGTCGTTATTCCAGAACATCTGGAACGCAAATGATTACGTATGGAGCCTTTGACAGCTCTAATCACATCATCCCGATACGAGCCCAGCAAAAACAAATGCTTGAATGTGCTATTCCTCCCTCGCAGTTCTGTCCCTGAAACATTTTCATCTATAGCTAAATAAATTGCAGGTGGGATTGAGACTCCAGGGCGGAGGGGGTTTATGTAACGTTTACCTGATGAAAATCACACACCAAGTGCTATTGGTGTCCGTAGTGGGGGTGAGGGGGGTGCTTTTCAACAGGAGACTGGGAAAAGATTGTAGTCCTAGACACACAAGTATACCTAAAGAAGCGCCTCCTCCCCCATCGTTCAGCCCAGACACTGAGGTCCAGCTCTAAGGGCCTTCTGGCGGTTCCCTCACTGCGAGAAGTAAGGTTACAGGGAACCAGGCAGAGGGCCTTCTCAGTATTCGCACCCGCCCTGTGGAACGCCCTCCCATCATATGTCAAGGAAATAAACAACTATCTGACTTTTAGAAGACATCGGAAAGCAGCCCTGTTTAGGGAAGTTTTTAATGTTTGATGTTTTATCGTGTTTTTAATACTCTGCTGGGAGCTGCCCAGAGTGGCTGAGGAAACCCAGCCAGATGGGCAGGGTAGAAATAATAAATTATTATTATCATTGCATACAGTGGGGCATGATCCTGATCATGGCTCCTGGTGGCTTAAGAGAGAAAGCCCACCTGGTATGCTAAATGCACTCGTGCATTGAGCATGCAGAATTTGGCTCTAAGCTGAGTTCTTGGCTGGAATATTCCACTTCTCCTTCACCTGAGGCCGTGGCTCAAAATCAGTAGCTTCCCCAGGGAGGAACTGCTGGGGCCTGTGATCTTTCTTGGCACATTTAGATTTGGGGAATACTTGCATTTGCTGGGAAATGCCTGCATCGACTCAGTACAGTACAAAATCACCTGAGTGGTGCCTTGATCTGGCAGAGGGAGCACGTCTCGTATTTTGGCTTGCAAATTCAGCATTACACATTGGAGCTTGTGTCAGTTTGCACTTTGAAATTGTGTGCGTGTGTGTGTTTTCTCTTCCGCAGCACCCACTCCTCAAAGGAAATGCAGCCGGAGAGAATAATCCAAGATAGTTTGTCAGTCTTCATCCAGAATCATATCCCGGGTGCTGACTTGAGGTATGTTTTATCTCATTTTGGGTCTAGGACAGCCATACAGAAGCGTGTCGTGTTTTCCATACGGAATCACTGTGTGGATTTTCATTAGCGGTGTGTCGCAACTGCGTTACAGAGTGGGCTGGCATCTACTAGCCTTTGTGTCCCTGGGACCCCTTTGGTGATATTTTAGTTCCAAATCCAGTTCCTAAACTGAAACTGCATGGAGCGGCCTTCACGGTTCCTGTTGTCCAACTGTAGGGCTTCCTTCTTCTGAAATCACAAACCTTACATAATGACTATTTTTAGTTACTGTACTGGAGAAAAGCCAAAATTGGCTTGCTGTAGCACTGTGGGGATTCGATATGTTTTGTTTTTGTAGAAAATTAGAGTGATGGAGTGTATAATTTTAACAAGTTGTTATGGTTGAGTAAGCTGGATGTGTAAACAAATTAATTTATGGGTGCAACCTCCTTTTCTCCTTTCCTTTCCCCCTTTTCTCTGATGCTTTTCAAAGAGGGTCTTATTCACAGTATTAGAATGTCATCATGGCTTATTGATCCTCCTACTTCCATAGGTAAAGGGACACGGTGGAGCTGTGGGTTAAACCACAGAGCCTAGGACTTGCCGATCAGAAGGTTGGCGGTTCGAATCCCCGCGAGGGGGTGAGCTTCCGTTGCTCGGTCCCTGCTCCTGCCAACCTAGCAGTTTGAAAGCATGTCAAAGTGCAAGTAGATAAATAGGTACCGCTCTGGCAGGAAGGTAAACGGTGTTTTTGTGCGCTGCTCTGGTTTGCCAGAAGTGGCTTAGTCATACTGGCCACATGACCCGGAAGCTGCACGTCGGCTCCCTCAGCCAATAAAGCAAGATGAGTGTTGCAACCCCAGAGTCGGCCATGACTGGACCTAATGGTCAAGGGTCCCTTTACCTTTACCTTACTTCCATAGGTACTCCTCAGTCTTTATTTAGCTGTACTCATAGATGTCAGATGATATCGTCATTAATGGTGAATGTAACATTTAATTAATAATTTGTTAATTGCTATGAGTGCATACGGTAGAAGAACAATTGCATAATTGTTAAATGGCTCGTGGGAGAAGCTTAAGTGTCAAAATAATTATCTGCTCCCCTCTCTGTTCTTCACTAGTAAGCTTTCCTTCTGTCTATAGCTTACCTGGCACTCTGAATTTCAGGAAAGGTCAGAGTCTTTCCTTTAAAAAATGAAAAATCCTAATTTTATAGACACACAAATTATGGCAAACCCAGTATTTTACATAAACGGCATAACTGTACATTTCTGAGCCCAACCTTCATGTGGATGTAGTATCCCTCAGCTTCCATTTCTGTGAACTGTAAATAATCATTGATGTGGATATTTTAAATAGTTATTTTTAAAATTTCCATTATTGGGACAGCAGAGCAGGGCAGCAGGCAGCAAATGTTGAATTACTCTTCAGGCTGAAGAAATTGTTGAAGGTGGATTTCCAGTTTTAATTTCTGGCTTTGCCTTTGAATCAAAGGTTTTCTTAAAAAATAAAAAGATATGTTCCTGGCTGCAGCAAAAGCTTTTCCATAGGGACTTAATAGGCTGCCTCATAGGATTAGTCAATCTTGCTCAGTATTGTCTATGCCAGGATTTTACAAACTTGGGTTTCCTGCCATTTTTGGACTCCAAATCCCATCATCCCTGACCACTGGTCCAGCTAGCTAGGGGTGATGGGAGTTGTGGTCCAAAAACAGCTGGAGACCCAACTTTGGGAAACCTTGGTCTACGCTGACTCAGGCAGGTTTCGTTCTCGGTCCTCTCTGGAGATACCTGGCCGATGGTGAAGAATTTAGAGCAGGGCTGGGAGATCTGTAGCCCTCCAGATATTGTTGCAATTCAGCTCCCATCATCCCTCACATTTGGCCAATCTGACTAGGGTGGAGAAAAAACTGCACAGTGCTTATTGAATAGTGACTTAACAAAGCACATTGTTCACAAGATTCAAAATGTCTGGGTCGCTGCAACAACATAGCAAAAAGGAATGCCAATATTTTTTATTGTTGCGTTTTCATTCATGGCTTTTTAACATAAACATGCTTTATAAAGCTGATTGGGGAAGAAATCTAAATGAAACATTAACTGCAGTTCCCCTTAAGGAATCAGGTGGCTTTTATCCAACAGGGTGTGATAAGCAAATGGAACTTGTCGGGTTTCTATAAGCTTTTTGCTTTTCTTTCCTTTCCCCACCCCCCAGTGGTCTGGATGACATTGTTTTCTCCTACATGGCAAGCGTCCTAGAAGGGCTTGGGTCCCACGAGTCGTTTGAAGAGAATTTTGACATGGACACCTTTATGGAAATGATGGGAGCGTATGTCCCTGGCTTTGCGGAAATCAACAGGTAAATGTTACTGCTTTTAAAAGATGTGATCACACCTGAGCTCAGTGAGTGAGCTCTTCCGATATGTGCTGCCTAGGCCATACCTGTCAGAGTCTTGCTCTCCTCTTGTCAACATTTGGATCTCCTTCTGCTTGTATTTGCTAGATTTCAGTGGTGGAGAATTTCGGCTTATTAATTTTACAGCAAGTGTCAATCTTTGGTTTCCAACTTTGTCCCCGGTTAATTTGGAGACAAATTAGATAATAGGCAGGTCATCCCTACAAAGGTCTCCTGCCTTCAAGTTTCTGAACTTGTGTTCTAACTTTCGGGGGGGTGGGGGGTTACTGAACTTCCTTTTTTTAAAAATCATTTTTATTTGATTTTACAAATGCAAATTTATAACATCCAAATGCATGTCCATATAGAGAGATTACTCTGAATCTCAAGACTTCCTCCCCATCCCCTCCATGGGTCCTCTTGTCAACATTTACAACTGCATATTACTGTATTCCATATTCTAGATTTTAAATGAATCCGTATTATCCATGGTATTTGTTACAAACAAGTTGGTTTCAAATCCTGCTAATGTTTCCATCTTCTTGCAGTGGTCTCCTATATAAGTTATAATTTTCCCCCATTTTTAAAAAGTTTTTGTCCTCTTGGTTCCTGAGTTTTCCAGTCAGCTTTGCCATTTTAGCGTAGTCCATCAGTTTAGCTTGCCATTCCTCTCTGGTAGGAAGTTTGTCTTCTTTCCATCAGGAATTACTGAACTACCATGCCTTATGAACTCATGTCTTAATGGGAGGTCTCACGTAATACAGTCATCATCATCATAAAGTCCTTCTAGGTTTTCCCAGCGCTACTTCAGCCCTGCAGATTTCAAACAGCGGGCTCTGAACAAAGCATTTTGACTGAAGTTATTCAGAATGATCATGTGGCTGCAAATTATATTGGTCTGCATTCCTTTGCCATTTTGAAATGTTTTGCGATGAATATAGTCCCCTTGGCATTTGCTCTCCTTACCTGTGTCTCCGCTAGACGGGATACTGCAATGGGAGAGAAAATTTCCCGGTTGCTCCTCAATCTGGTCTTTGCCAATAACGCGCTGTCCTTCTCTTGCAGTAGCAACGTTTGTGAAATGATGGTTTCTCTCTCAGAAAGGCTCCACGAAGCCCGCAGTAAACGTAAGTCGTGCGATGAGCACTCGGGTGACAGGCAGTGTTGTCTGGCTAAAGGTGTGTCCAAGTGGCTAACTGGAATACAAGGCTTGTAGCACACTGAATAAGAGGAGGTAGAATTAAGATACATCAAGGTATTGGATAAGGTAAGGTAAAGGTAAAGGTACCCCTGCCCGTACGGGCCAGTCTTGCCAGACTCTGGGGTTGTGCGCTCATCTCACTCTATAGGCCGGGAGCCAGCGCTGTCCGAAGACACTTCCGGGTCACGTGGCCAGCGTGACAAAGCTGCATCTGGCGAGCCAGCGCAGCACACGGAACGCCGTTTACCTTCCCGCTGGTAAGCGGTCCCTATTTATCTACTTGCACCCGGGGGTGCTTTCGAACTGCTAGGTTGGCAGGCGCTGGGACCGAGCAGCGGGAGCGCACCCCGCCGCAGGGATTCGAACCGCCGACCTTTCGATCAGCAAGTCCTAGGCACTGAGGCTTTAACCCACAGCGCCACCTGCGTCCCACTAAGGTATTGGATACCACACATAATTTCTTAGTATAAAGTGATTTTGGGTGGGTGGGAAGACACCGGGACTGGCCTTTGAGGAATACAAAACACCAGCACAGCTGGCATTTTGCCACCCATTTTGAATCTTTTTTGGGTTGTGAGTCGCTTTGAGTTGCCTTGGGCAAGAGAAAGCGACTAACAAATTCAGTGAATGATAATAATTAATAATATTTAGCTTGACCTTTTAACACTTGGTTACTATATTAAAGTTGTATTTAATATATGGCGCTTAGAGTGGGGGGCAGGTAATAAATCAAACTTACAAATGATGGCAACTGGAGATGTAAAGAGTTGAACTAGCTTTAAAGTAGGGCTAGGCAATATATTGATATATCTCCCCAAACCAGTATGAAGTCCATATTGAGATACAGTGGTACCTTGGTTTATGAACTTAATCCTTTCCGGAAGTCCGTTCTTAAACCAAAGCATTCTTAAACCAAGGTGTGCTTTCCCACAGCAGCAGGGAACTCAATTTACAAATGGAACACACTCAACAGGAAGCGGAACATGTTCTTATTCCAAGGCAAAGTTCATAAACCAAAACACCTACTTCCGGGTTTGCGGCATTCTTAATACAAGTTGTTCATAAACTAAGCTGTTCTTAAACCAAGGTACCACTGTATAGGTTTCAGAGTTTTTGACCTGGTGATATATCATGAATCATGATGTGTGTTAGCGCTGAGCGATGTCTGGCTTTCCAAATTGTGATATATCACCAGCCAAACATTGTGATACAACAGTATATCACAATCTCTGCAATAAGGATGTAACTATGTAGAGAACCCCGGGGTAAAGTTCTGGAAATGACTTAGGGGTCTAAAATGGATACATTTTTTACTTACCTTTAACATATTGTTAGGGATGCAGGTGGCGCTATGGGTTAAACCACAGAGCCTAGGACTTGCCGATCAGAAGGTCGGTGGTTCGAATCCCCGAGACGGGGTGAGCTCCAGTTGCTTGGTCCCTGCTCCTGCCAACCTAGAGGTTCAACAGCACGTCAAAGTGCAAGTAAATAAATAGGTACCACTCTGGCGGGAAGGTAAACGATGTTTCCATGCGCTGCTCTGGTTCGCCAGAAGTAGCTTAGTCATGCTGGCCACATGACCTGGAAGCTGTACGCCAGCTCCCTCGGCCAATAAAGCGAGATCAGCACCGCAACCCCAGAGTTGGCCACGACTGGACCTAATGGTCATGGGGTCCCTTTACCTTTTACCTCACCCACATGTGCAGCATTAGAATGTGAGAGGTCCATGGTCCATTTTGACATCATTTAGATATGCTATGCTATAAACACAGTGTGTCTAGTATAAATACAAAACTGTCTAGGCAGTGTTTCACGTGGCATGCTAAGATGTATAAGACTGAATCAGATAAGTGCTGGAGATGCAATGAGGTCAAGGGTATGTTCTCTCTTATGTGGTGGACCTGTAAAAAAGTATTGGGAAATCATTTACAATGAATTGAAAGAGATGTTTAAAAGCACTTTTCAAAAAAAACAACAACCCACAGTCCTTTCTGTTGGGGATAATTCAGATGGAAACTCCCAGGTGTCGAAAAAAGTTATTTATGTATGCCACTGCTGCAGCCCGTGTTTTGTTAGCCCAGAAAGGGAAAACTACTATGGCCCATATTTTGTTAGCCCAAAAAGGGAAAACTATTGTGGCCCGTCTTTTCTTAGCCCAAAAAGGGAAAAGGTCCCAACCAAAGAGCAAGGTCCCAACCAAAGAATAATGGCAACTGAAACTGATGGAATATGCGTAGCTTGCGGACCTAACTTATAGAATAAGAGAACAAGGGGAGCATAACGTTCAAAGAAGTTTGGAAAACATATATTGGATGTATGGTGGGGTATTGTGTACATTTGAAAATGTTGGTAGCTTTAAGATAAATTAAACAGTGTAAATAAGTTTTGATGGATGTAATAATGGAATACTGAATGGTTTAGTTTATATAAAATATGCAGGGATTTATGTTATGCAAAATGAACCATGGAAAGAGAAGACAGGAAGTCACTGATATTTTAAGGTTGTTTAAGGGAATATTCTATATTGTAAAACAGAAAATTTAATAAAAATAAATAATAAATAAAGGGGTACAAATTGTCTTGTTCTCTTTGAGTGGCAGGTAGATGGGTCTTCTAGGGTCTTTTGTGTCTAAAGGTGTTGTGCATCTTCCAGAATACACCATGCAGAGCAGGAGCCATGTAAAATCTGAAGCAACGGCCCATGTGCGTGAAGAGGGAGCAAGTGTGTCTGAGGACAACAGGCTGTCGTGTTCCCCGGTCGAGGGAGCCCCGGCAGAGGTATGGACTGGGAGGTTCAACTTTAGTGGCCTCTTCAGCTAACTCTGGTTGGTGGATTTCCTTGTGAAATTCTTTTTTTCCTGTCCGCCGTGCCATCGCAGCTGATTACTTCCCTAAAAACCGAGAGAGGGTTTGCTTTGCAGAGTGGGGTTGCAATAAATACATGTTTGCTCCGTTGCTAGAACATCTCTGGATTGTGGGATCCAGCCCCAGGTTGGGCAAAAGATTCCTGCATTGCAGGGGCTTAGACAAGATGACCCTCGTTGTCCCTTACAACTCTATGATTCATTCTGTTTCTTCCTTGGCTTGACCAGGAAACACATGGTGATCCAGTGGAAGTGATTCTGGAGATGTTTCCATCTTGCACGGTGAGCCAAGCCCAAAAGGCTCTAGGCATGGCCTTGGGGAACCTGGAGGAGGCAGCACAGCTCATCCTAGAGGAGAAGGTGCAACTCAACACCCTGGATACAACCATACAGGTAATAGTAATAATTTCATTATTCATGCCCCACCCATCTGACTGGGTTGCCTCAGCCACTCTGGGCAGCTTCCAACACATATAAAAACAAAATAAAACATTACACATCAAAAGGCTTCCCTATACAGCGCTGCCTTCAGATGTCTTCTGAAGCTTATGTACTTACTCATCTCCTTGACATCTGATGGGAGGGTGTTCCACAGGGCAGGTGCCACTACCGAGAAGGCCCTCTGTCTGGTTCCCTGCTGTAACCTCACCTCTCACAATGAGGGAACTGCCACAAGGCCCTCAGAGCTGGACCTCAGTGTCTGGGCTGAACGATGGGGGTGAAGACACTCTTTCAGGTATACTGGGCCAAGGCCATTTAGGGCTTTAAAGATCAGCTCCAGCACTGTAGGTCTTTCAGGACTGGTGTTATATGGTCCCAGTGGCCACTCCATCACCAGTTACGTGCTGTGTTTTGCATTAGTTGTAGTTTCCGAGTCACCCTGTAGCCCCACGTAGAGCACATTGCAGGACAGTGGTACCTAGGGTTAAGTTCTTAACCTGAAACTGTTCTTAACCTGAAGCACCACTTTAGCTAATGGGGCCTCCTGCTGCCGCCGCACTGGCAGAGCACGATTTCTGTTCTCATCCTGAAGCAAAGTTCTTAACCCGAGGTACTATTTCTGAGTCTGTAACCTGGAGCGTATGTAACCCGAGGTACCACCGTAGTCCCAAGTGGGAGAGAATCGGGTATTGTCCCATAGCTGTGCCATGCCAGGGAGCAGACTGGGAGAAACCAGGTCATTTTCAGCCAGGTGAAAGAGGAGTTTCTGGACCGAACTGCCAAGTATTCCACCTGTGCTGGGAATCAAAATTCAAACGGTAGCCTATTAGAAAGTCTACGTTTCAGTACGGAAGCTGTGTGTGATTCTACTTTCTTTATCATTGGAGAACACAGGTTTCCTCCATAAAACCTTTAAAATAAGAGTGGGGAACCCTTTTCAGCTTGGGCTGCCTTCCAGAGGTTGCACAGCAAGGCCACAGCAGGCAGAGTGACAGGTGCCAGTCTATGCTGCGTGCCAGAGCCAGGAAAGCCAGAGGTTGCTATGCATGTGTGTATATTCATCCAGGCAAAACAATGTCTTATCACATTTCAAAGGCTGTGTTGCAGCCATGCACACAAGAACAGCACGGAGCAAGACTGGAGAGGGGCATGGCCTAGGGAGGGTCCCAAGGGCCTGAGAGTGACACCTGGGGGGCCACACTCAGCCTATGAAACAAAGGTGTCCCAGCTCTGCTTTAAAATGTTAAAGGTTTGATTAGTTCAAGATCTGTCGGTGTGTGCAGTTGGAGCCCTTCCAGCATTTCCTGTTCCTTCAGGTTGATCTTAGCCTTCCCACTCCTACCATATACCATGACCTTTTCCTACCTCTGTGTTATGTTGTTGTTGTTGTTTAGTCGTTTAGTCGCGTCCGACTCTTCGTGACCCCATGGACCAGAGCACGCCAGGCACTTCTGTCTTCCACTGCCTCCCGCAGTTTCTTCAAACTCATGCTGGTAGCTTCGAGAACACTGTCCCACCATCTCATCCTCTGTCGTCCCCTTCTCCTTGTGCCCTCCATCTTTCCCAACATCAGGGTCTTTTCCAGGGAGTCTTCTCTTCTCTTGAGGTGGCCAAAGTATTGGAGCCTCAGCTTCAGGATCTGTCCTTCCAGTGAGCACTCGGGGCTGATTTCCTTCAGAATGGATAGGTTTGATCTTCTTGCAGTCCATGGGACTCTCAAGAGTCTCCTCCAGCACCATAATTCAAAAGCATCAATTCTTCGGCGATCAGCCTTCTTTATGGTCCAGCTCTCACTTCCATAGATCACTACTGGGAAAACCATAGTTTTTACTATACGGACCTTTGTTGGCAAGGTGATGTCTCTGCCTCTGTGTTATAATCAAGCTTTAAACAGCCATGCACGTAATACATTTATTTTAGAACCTGGTGCGGGGGATGGATAGTTCTCTGATGGACCTCAAAAACTTTATATCACACTCTTCTTTTCTTTTTCTTTTTGACAAGGCACCTTCCAGCTTTCCCTGCATAATAGCAGTTATGGAAACTGTTTGCTGGGATCACGATGTTCACAAATATCCAGTATTCTATTAAGTCTAAGCTGTATTAATACTCCCCAGGCAACAGCTTGAATGCCAGTCTCACCTTCTCATATTTCTGCTTTTGCGTTTCCTGTCCTGCTCTTTCCTTTCAGGAAGCTTCAAGATCCCAGAAGACACCCAAGCAAGGCGAATTAAAGCAATTTATCTTGGAGAAGTAAGTAACAACCCGCAAAAATCAATTCAGGAAGTGTGGTTCGAAGTGGTCAGGCTTGATTTTGGCTTTCAGTCCAGCTCTAGAAATATGTGTGTGTCACCTGTAATTGGGAAAGAGCTTCCTTGCAGTCAGCGTTGCCAGGGCTGTAGCCACCAGCAAGGGATTATATATGGGGTTTGCCCCATAAGAGACATTCCAGGCCTGTTCCCTGAATGTTCAGCTTTCTATCCATAAAACAGTAGCAACAGTGAATTATCCCCCGGTGAATGCAGTACCCCAGGCACGGATGATGATGTGTCAAATGCTAGTACTGATTTAAATATAGGTAAAGGGACCCCTGACCATTAGGTCCAGTCGTGACCGACTCTGGGGTTGCGGCGCTCATCTCGCTTTATTGGCCGAGGGAGCCGGCGTACAGCTTCCAGGTCATGTGGCCAGCAAGACGAAGCCGCTTCTGGCGAACCAGAGCAGCGCACGGAAGCGCCATTTACCTTCCCGCCAGAGTGGTACCTATTTATCTACTTGCACTTTGACGTGCTTTCAAACTGCTAGGTTGGCAGGAGCAGGGAACGAGCAACGGGAGCTCACCCCGTCTCGGGGATTCGAACCGCCAACCTTCTGATCGGCAAGTCCTAGGCTCTGTGGTTTAATCCACAGTGCCACCCGTGTCCCTATACACACACCATAAGTGCTAGTATTATCAGTGTACATTATTCTACTGCAGTTTAATGTCGTTCAGCGGAGGGCACAGTTGCTAAGTCTCATGCTACTAAATATGACTGCTAGGTGCGACCCTGAAGCGCAAGGCAGCTCTGACAATTTCTGGCTATTTCGATATGAGCTCGAGACACCAAAAATGAACATCAGTGCCAAACATTATCTTTCATAGAACCGTATAGTTGGAAGGGACCCTGACGATCATCTAGTTCAGGGGTCAGCAAACTTTTTCAGCAGGGGGCCTGTCCACTATCCCTCAGACCTTGGGGGGGCGGACTATATTTTTTGGGGGGAATGAACGAATTCCTATGCCCCACAAATAACCCAGAGATGCATGTTAACTAAAAGCACACATTCTACTCATATAAAAACTTGCTGATTCCTGGACCGTCCGCGGACCGGATTGAGAAGGCAATTTGGCCGCATCCGGCCCCCGGGCCTTAGGTTGCCTACCCATGATCTAGTCCAAAGCCTTTCCCCCGTAGTAGTAGTAGTAGTAATTAATTAATTAATTAATTAATTAATTAATTACTCATACCCCACCCATCTGGCCGGGCCTCCCCAGCCACACTCAGCGGCTTCCAACAGGATATTAAAAACACAATAAAAAATCAAACATTAAAAACGTCCCTAAACAGTCCTGCCTTCAGATGTCTTCTAAAAGTCAGACAGCTGTTTATTTCCTTGACATCTGGTGGAGGGCGTTCCACAGGGTGGGCGCCACTGCCACAATGCAAGACTATGCAGCTGTCCCATACGGGGATGGAACCTGCAGCCTTGGCATTATCAGCACCAAACTCTAACCAGATGAGCTATCCAGGCTGATTTAAATAGTAAATTAACCAATGGATTTCAAACAAAATCACTGTTCTAAGCATCCTGGACTGTATTAAATGGGTCTCGGTCAAGAGAAAGGAGTTGGGTGTGTTCCCAATTCCCTGTTGGCTCTCTTTATAGTGCAAGCCACACTGTATTTTCGATATATTGAATTTCTGTGGCTGGAAAGAAAACTGAACAATGTGAGAGGAGAAAACAGGTCCAGCTGTACTATCAAGAAGAGGAATACATCTCTCTCAACATTTGACCTTAGATGATCAAAATACCGTATTTTTCGCTCTATAAGACGCACCAGACCACAAGACGCACCTAGTTTTTGGAGGAGGAAAACAAGAAAAAAAATATTCTGAATCTCAGAAGCCAGAACAGCAAGAGGGATCGCTGCGCAGTGAAAGCAGCAATCCCTCTTGCTGGTCTGGCTTCTGGGATAGCTGCACAGCCTGCATTTGCTCCATAAGACGCACACACATTTCCCCTTACTTTTTAGGAGGGAAAAAGTGAGTCTTATAGGGCAAAAATACGGTACTTATTTCTGTACAGCAGGACCTAGTGGAGACAACAGCAAAAAGGTAGAGTCACAAAGCTTTGCTGAGGCATTTTTATTTAAAAATCTATATGCTGTTTCATGTGCATCCTTACCACAGAAGAGTCAATGGAATCAGCACTACACGGCAGAACTGGCTGCTAAATTTAAGTTACCTGTAGATTGCACATATGTCTCTGCCAATGTGGGAAAGGGGTGTCATCTATATAACAAACTTTAAAACCAACAGGGTGGGAACTTTTCTCCAAAGGAAGAAGGGGGAACTTTTCCACCGGCAAAGCGTTTTGCCACTTTCCTAAAAGACCCACCTCTCGAGAGGGCTTTGTGCATTTCTTGTGGTTTTAGGTACATGATGGTAGGATAACGAAGAGGATCAGAAAAACACACAGGCCAGCACCCCCCAAAGAGGTAAGCAACACAAACGTATGCAAGCCAATAGCCGAAATAGGGGAAAGAACTTTTATAACCCGGCCTCACTGCTTTGTATCATTATTTACAGTGGTTTGAGGTCGGGCAGACAAACTGTGGGCATCTAACCTCGAACCAGCAAAAAGCAGACAAATGGCTTTAGAGCAGATTTGCCACTCAGAGCTAGGGGGGTGGACAACAGCTTGCATCCACCCCCATCGCAACATCTCTAGCACCAGACTATTGCTAGCCTCATTTTACTGTCTTTGTGTTCATTTTTAGTAAACTGCAACAGATGCCAATGTCCATCGGGGCTATTTTTTATGTACACGCCAGGAGCTTGGGCAATAGTAATGCATTCATCCGGGCACTGAATCAGATAGTTGCCATGCTTTTCAAGATATACAATTGCTTCAGAAAGGAATCTCTGGGACAGGCACGTCTTGTAGGGGTCTTGCAATAAATGCAGGAGTTCCGTGCATGAGTTGCATCAACTCAAGAGGCCAGGTTTCATATCACAGGGTTTTTTGGGGGGTGGGGTGGGAGGGGCCTATGAAAAACAAAAAGTTGGAAGGGAAACCCAGTCCACATAATCCAACATCCCTCAGTCTCTTCAGTTAAGTGAGATCACAAGTTAGATGTCTCCAGAACTGTTCATAAAAGCAAATAACTTCAAGCAAAAGAATCCAATTACATCCTGCAAGCTACTCTCTTTTATGGTGATGTGTCAGAAGTGTATCACTCAAGTACTGTCCTTACCCTTCTAGAATACAGCAAGATGTATAGCTTTACATCTTAAGTTACTGTAACCCAAAGAGGATGCCCCACTGCAATGAATTCCTATCTAAACACAGCAGCCCTTTTGGAACGAGTCCTTTACATGCAGTATAGTATTCCCCAAAGTATCACTGAAGCACATTTTCTGCACTGAAATTGAAGACACTCCGCATGGAGAGGACATTTCCCTATGTATGTCACTCTTCTGAGCACACGTTTTGTTTAAACAGCAGATTCTGCTGCGTCTCTGTCTTGTAGGTCATTAAATAATGCAACCACAGCCCAATTCCCAGCAGAGGCCGTGTGTGTTCTGGTCTTTCAAGCTTCTAGTGAGTCATGCAAAGATGTAGCAGCCAGTCTCCATTGTGGATGGGTCATCTTGAGCTCCCAGGAGCCTTGCGTTAGTGCAGTAATTTGTGCAAGAAATTAACCATTCCACCAACCAATTCACAAAGAAACAGCCCATTCAGATTGGAAAGCAACTCAGCTTCTGTTTTCGTTCTTTGCCCTTAGGCTCCCAAGAAGATGATTCGCTACATTGACAATCAGGTAGTAAGTACAAAAGGGGAACGATACAAGGATATCAAGAAGGCAGAGAGTGAAGAAATGAAGAGAATCGGAAACACGTTGCATCCTCTTTCAACATCTCTACGCGGAGCGGGCGGAGGAGGCGCGCAGGGTCGCCGGCGGACGGACAGACAGACAGGAACCTACAGGCAGGCACGCCCTAGTGAGTGTTTCCAGAAGCCCTTTGCTTTAGCTGCTTGTCGTCGTTTTTTGCGCGCCTCCTGAGCATGTGCAGAGTGCATTCACCCTCCGGCGGAGTCCCTGCTGCTCTCGCGGCAGCGTCGGTGCCGGCGGTCTGTTTTGCGCCCTAGGCGAAGCTAAATACTTGCGCGCGCGCGCACCACCAAAACGCCCCCCTCCCTGCTAACTTCAAAGCCTTACAGGGTGGGGGGGGGCGGAATGAAAACTTGAAGCTGCAAAGTTTATTTTAAATGGCAAGAAAAAGCAGCGCCTCGATCTTAAATGCCTTTCTCAAACGCAAAAAGAAAACTAGTTTGCCTAAAACAAACCTACAACTAGTTTGCCTA